GCGACGGAAAGAGAAGAGTTGGAGGAATCATGGGTCCAATGGAGATAGGAGTTTAACACAGGAAGGTCAGCGCAATTGGAATAAACTTTACTATCGGTGAACTTCTGGGAAGTGCATGTGAGTGAAGTCGCCGGAGAAGGCAGCGACACCAAAAGTGAAAGACCCAAAAAGAGAGGAATAATTGAACGTGGCAGCAGAGACATAATCGTCGTCGTCGTCGTCGTCCAGAGAGAGATTAGAGACAACACAACGTGTGTTTTTTTTCCTCTGATATATTTATTTAAGGTCGAGATTAAACAAAAAGCGAAAGGCACGCCAATAAATCTGGGCAAATTAGTAAGTACTCTTAGAGAGCAACAAATGCGTTGGAAGAACGTAAAACTTTTCTGCTTGGAAAGGAAATCGGATTGAAACCTTTATCCAGATTTAGGCAATTTTCGGTTTACTTTTCTATTGTTGGTAAAGTGTCGTTTAATTTTGTTTGTTTTTTTTTGTTTTTCTTTTAATTAGTAGTTAATTACAACGCACCCCATAGTTCCATATGTGATATGATTGTTTCTAAAAGGAGAAAAACTTAGGTATGATATCTTTCCATATAACAGTGTTGCTGGATTTTTTATTAAAAATATAAATTTTAAAATCAAATGTTTATTATTTTTAATTCAATAAATATTAGAAGAACCCTGCCTGTTTAATATTTTTAAAATATAATTTTTCGGTATGCCGTATTATAAGCTTCGACCTTCTAGTATATTATCAGATTAAATTGAGGGTAATTGAGAGACTTGTTAGATTATTTTTGTCTCAACAAAAAAATGAAAATTTTTGTCTCAATATCATTGACGAGTATAGGGGAAATTATTTTTGCTTCTTGTAGCTGATTTCCTAAAAGGATTAAATTTATAATAGTTTTGTATATCTTTGTAAATGAAATTTTTAATTAAAATGTAATGATGATTCTAATGTTTTTCGATGATTCTACAATAAATATATATTGTAGACTCAGGTTAGGTCTCAATTTAAGGAATGAATTACATTTTTTTATAAATTATAAATAGCTCATTTTGCTTAAAAATTTTTATTTTATAGATAGATTATATAATGGAGCATAATACTCCTCTGGTCCTCTGGACAAAATATTTAACACTTCAATATCTTTTAATTTCAGCCTTTTGGCTGAGAACAAGGGTAAATAATGGGATATCTTTTCGGTTTCGGAAAAACTGAGTTCTCAAATTAGCATATTCTTTGATGTTATCATCAATATGAATATAGTAAAAATTAAAATGTAAAAAATTCAAAGTAAATTTTATTTAAGTTTGACTTTTAATCTTTTTTTATTTGATACGATTATAATTTTTATGTTTCAAGATAAAAATTATTTTATTCTATATTTTGTATTTTCAGAAATAAAAATATTCGAAGTAAAATAAATTATTGAAAATTGTACATTTAAATAACCCAAATTTTTTTAGGACTGAAATTTAAATGACTTAAAGATGAGGTAGCTGTTACCTATTATTCTTTTCAGTGCTTCTGCATTGTTTAAGAGTACATCTAATATGAACCCTTTAGTTCGCAGTTAGCACTTGTTAGAAGGTCACTTTAATTAAAGTCATTATTGAAAAAAGGCAACTGGTACCACCCAACGTGAATTAAAAATGAGTTAATAAAAACAAGAATAAAACTTTTAATCCTTCAAAGTTTGCTTTCATTATCAATATAATCTTCGAATTTTAATATTTATTAATCAAGTTTCTTAAATTTTATTACGTATCATGTTACTCCTAATTAATAGGGTTATTTTCCCTTCAAACCATAAGAACTAATTGTATATAATTATGCAGTTTCATGAATCAAATTGATAAATATTAGACATTAGGATTAAATTGATAATTGAAGTAAATCTAATACTACCTCTGGTCCTTAATATAAGACCTTTTTTTACTTTTATTTTGATTCTAAATATAAGACCCCAATCTACTTTGTCTCTCATATTTATATTTTTTTTCCTAAGGTAGTTCTTCTAATAATAATAGTTCTAGCCAATACGCTTGATTAACAAGGATATTTTAGGAAAAACAACACATATTTATTACAAATAACTAACTTAACTTATTTTCTTAATCTCTTAAAATTAGTCAACTAGTTTTTATAATTAGGACCGGATGTAGTAGATGAAAATTTTCATTACCGCTTAATAAAACATTCTTTTAAAGTCATCCATTTAATTTGCCATAAAACATAGTAGCCCAAGGACAATTCCGACAGGATCTGAATGTTAAATAGCATAATAAGAATTCTGGAGGGTCCTCATCCCCTGTTTTGAGTTTTGACAATAGGGTCGCCTTCTTGTTCTTGCTTTCTAGTTTGAAAAAAGTGTTCATAAAAATATTTGCTAACTACTACCGATTGCGTACTAAAAGTTGGTTGGGAGATTAAATTCCGTTATTTAGTTATAAATATAATATTTTAATTCATTCTGTTTTTTAGATTTGTAATTTTTTCAAAATATTCTTATTGATTATTGATTATGAAAGCTTCCTATCAAAAAATAATTCTAAATTATAATACATATGATTAAATAGGATAATTTAGAAAAATCAATGGACATTTAATATTTTTAAGTTAGTATTCAACTCTTATATTAAATATCAAAGTTAGTACATTTTAATGATATTATCATATTAAATATAAGATGCCAAATACTGTACATCTGATTTTATAAATCACATAATTTTTTCGCTAAGTCTTTCTTGGAATCTTGTCAAAATTATATTTTTTTTAATAAAATTACATATATTTTCTCAATTTTAAAAATATGCGCAAACCTCTTCTAAAAATTATGTGTAATTTCACAGAAACGTGTCGATAATTTTTTTTGGTATTTTCATAATGTTTTCCTAATTTAATAATGAATACCAAAAGCACTAAAAAAATACCTTTTTATTTAAAGGGATATATTGCTGCTTCTAACTGGAGAGGAAAATATAAGATAATTGATCTTACGTATTTCATTGTATTTAAAGGCTTCCCTTTTGGAAAAGTAGGATCACATGCATGGGGAACAAAAAGATTCAAAATCAGATTTAAGAATATTAAATTCATTGCGACATAAATTTTATTTGCAAAGAATCATTAATATAGTGAATGGCCCAGATTTTGTTTCCTCTCTAAATAGGGGATGATCCTCTTTGACCAAAAAAAAAAAAAGAAGAGGATGATCCTGTCCTTCCAAAAATTAATGCGATTGCATTATTATTTATTTAAATTGAATAAACGAAAAGAAATATCACATGAATTATACTGACATGCTAGCAAAAAAATAACATCACAAATTAAAAGGAAACCCGTGTTATGGTTGGGGGGGGGGGGACGCAGAAGCCAAAACTGCCGCATAAATCCAATTGCAATAAGGACAAAATTCAAATTTCCACGACAAACAATATTTTATTAAAATATAGAAAGCTTATATAGAGTGCATGCAATAGCAAAATTTAACCCGTTAAAAAGGAAAGAATTGATCATTGCTTTCTATAAGCCGTCCGCAGAACAAATTTCCTATTCTTCTTTATAACGTGACATTTGTTTTTCCTAAAGTTAGAAGATGATGATGATGCTTCCTTTTTTTCTTTTCTTTCTGAAAGTCTAGCCTGACATCAAACCCAAAAAAAGTTGTTCCATTTTAACTAATCAAATTGAAATATTTATGTTTATTTTTAAGAGTTAATAAAATTTTTGGTCTCTCATTTTAGTTTTGATCCTCTAGATTTTAAATAATAAGTTTTGATCCCTCAAAAGACAAAATAATCAAAGTTTTTATTGAATTATTAGAACTAATATTTTAAATAAAAAAATTTAAAAAACCAGAACTAAAATGAAGACAAATTGAAATAAAAAATGTATTAACTCTTATTTTTAAGTTACATGACAATTTCATATTTATTTCATGTATATAATATTTTTTTTATTTCTAGAAAAAAAATGTAGCGATAAAAATCATGAATCTTAAACACATGGGTCGCATGCCAACGGTCCCATCCCAAAAAGACAGGAAATTCGCCAATTCCCCACAGCCCATTCCCATTCACATCTCGAGAAACACAATCCGAACAAAAATGACAAAAATTTAACATGAAAAACCCTCTACTACCGGGGAAATGGGCTGTTTCCCATTAAATGTTCTTAGAAATAGTACACATTAAAAGAAAAAAGATCAAATATACCGCGTCAACACTCCAAAAATTACAATTAAATGTGGCTGTTTTTCATAATTCGAGATGAATTACAAACTCAATTTTATTTATTATGGGGATTCCACAACCTGAGTGATATTAATCTTCTCAATTCTTCTTTACCAAATACATGAAACTTGAGATTTGTTTTTTTTGGGGGAGGGGGGAACCAGCTGTTCATCCTGCAAAATAAATCACAAACATCAAAAAGTTCAAAATCTTTAGTTATGAATTTGGCATTTTATCTAAATATTCCCCACTAATTATAGGCCAATGGGAACTTAAGCATCTAGTGATTCTATTTAACTAATTCATAGCTCTAAAGAATTAACCTTATGCATATAATACGCTTTTCATGCCAAGCGTGTATATTATAGTTCAGTAACTAAGGAAGCATCTTCATGCACCATACAAATATTAACTACAAAAAAGATCAAGAGCGTGAGACCTGGACCTTATTCTCATCGTTCGGCTTCAATCTCCTGAAGTCCGCTGCATAATTTGTTGAGCCCAGTGAAGCTTTCATCTGAGGCCAGTGACTAAAATAAGCATTGAACAGAAAAACTAAAATATACAAGTATTGAAGCTTGAACGGCCAGCGATATAATTCATTGCAGTTGAGTTCAAATTCAGAACAGGAATTCAGTTTCCTTATCACATCCATCCGATTCTGAAATTGAGTAATTACCGAAAATCAATTAAGAATATGAAGACATGGTGATATAATTTGTAAACCAGTTTTGTTTTGCTAGATACTATTCTTCAAAATAGGATTTCATCGTAAGTATATGCATGTTATCTTTTTCATATTTCAACTCAATAAGAAAGCAGCTTACTTAAAATGCAGTAAACATAACTCACAGGATCAACCTGAACATAGCCATTTTGACCTGGAATTTTCGTAAAAACAGAGCAAATAAAACCAATCATCTTTGAATGTTTTCAAAGTTTTATAATCCATGTAGCTGGACAAAACTAGTTTGAAATTTATAGGGCGCACAAGTTATTTAGTTGGCGAATACTATAGTAATAATCAATTTAAGCAGCAGTAGAGTACCTCGTCTTAAACTTTCAGTGAGCAGAGCATGCTCTGCGAGGCCTTCTTCTCTTGGAAAAAAAGGTTACCTGCAAGGAAAGGTTAATTAGTAAGGGGAGTGGAGTTTATCAACTTGGAAGCATTTTAGTAAGGAATTCTTATATGAAGGTGAAAACAAATGGGAGAGTATTTTTTTTTTTAATAAAGTAGTTATAGATATAATGAGCATACCTTTAGATGTATGCAATGGAGATTTAGATTCGAAAGCCATCGATCAATATATTTGGGATGTGAGCAATTTTTAGCCACTCTGCTCCTGTTTCTCTCTTGCATTTGTCCTCTAGAAGTGGAGCTCCAAAGAGTTCTAGTGTTTGTAAAGTAGAGAGGCGAGACATTTCTGCTGGAAATAACTCCAAGTTTTTACAAATCCAAATGGTGATAATGCGCAGTGACTGGAGATCACAAATCCACTCGGGTAAAGCTGTGAGTTGATCACAATGAAAAAAATTGATTTTTTGGAGAGAACGTAGGCAACAAAGGTCTTGGCACTGTATGTTATAATCCTCATCACTAAGGTGGAAAATAGTCAACCTCTCGAGTGTAGCGGATAGATTCCGCATATGAAGAAATGGTTTCTCCGAAAATCCATCAATAGAGAGATGTTTAAGAGAGGAGAGATTTTGCATACATTCCTCTGGTAATGCTTCCATTTCTATCCTTCTAATGTCAAGAGACTTGAGCATGGAAAGAGATGGAGTCATATCATGTGATGTTGACGGCCCAATTGTGCCCACACTTAATGTGTCTACCAATGGCTTCATGCTAGAGTTGAATAACCCCAAATCCCTCACGAGATTTGGAAAAGCAGGCATGCATCTTAAGTTTGGGCAGTTACAAATTTCCAATGCTGAAAGATGTGAAAATGGAGGCAGTGAATCATGCCACTCATTATTTCTTGTATTTTGGCCATTTGCCTCCCTTTGCCATCCCTTTAAACTTCCACAAGAGTAAATTTCTAATTTCTCCAAAGATGGGAAGAAGTTGGCTGATGAGGAACATCCTTTATATTCTATATGCTCCAATTTATCCATCCCGTCTATGTGAAGAGTCTTGAGAGAAACAAAGCCTTCCAACGCTGGCAAGTATTGACAATTTTTGACGTTCAAAAACGTTAATTGAACAAGATTTGCACATGACAAGAGCCAATCAGATAGGCATGCCCCCGGGTATCGGTTTATTTCTAGTGTCTTCAAATTTTGATGAGGGTGAAGATTTTCTAGTAACTGCATGGCATCACTTTTTTCCATCTTGCGATCGTCTCCCCAATCCAGGGACAAGGAAATGAGGTTTTTCTTTGTTTTCAAATTAATATTTTTGGACTCCTCCTCTACATCCCTTACTGAATCAAGTTTGTTGATGGCTAATCTACCTTTGAGGTCAACATCTTTCAATTCATTCAATTTGGCTTTCTTTGTCTCCTTATCACCATTACCCACTATGAAATATGACAACCTCTGCATACAAGTCATTTTGCCCAACCCCATAGGCATTCCATCATCAAAGGCCTTGCAACCTCCTATATCAAGCCGGCGCAACTTTACAAACTTTGTGATAATATCTCCAGGAAATTTCAAACGATGACAGTTGGTCAATCTTAATGTTTGCAAATTGACTAATTTACTTATACTCTTGGGCAAACTAGTCAATTCATCACAATAAGAGAGATTAAGATGCCTCAAATGGATCATTTTACCTATTGATTTAGGCAAATATCTCATCATAGAGTATGACAAATCTAGACTTCGTAAGCGTTTGAACACAAATAAATCGGGTAGATCTCTTCTATATTCTTTCTTCATTTCATGAAACGTTCTCAATCTACCTAGATCCGGCATATTTAGTGAACGATTGGTGTTATATTTTTCAAAAGAAGCATGTATAGGACACATTGCACCATTTTTTCCTCCCTCAACGTATAGGTCAGAGCTAGCAACTGATTGGGACAAGTCATGCATCAAATCATGCATTTTAAAATACGTTATTTCTCCTGATTCATCAATCTTAACATCTTGCAAGAATGACTTCATCAATAAAACATGAACGTACTCTTCACCCACGTCTTCTAGACATTGTTCCTCGTCTTTGTTTTCAAGGAAGCCTTGTGCCATCCACATATCAATCAATTCAGCCTTATCATATTCCCAATCTTTTGGATATATAGAACAATAAGCAAAACACTGTTTTAATTCAATTGCCAGACTGTCATAACTCAACTTTAAAATTGGCATAATTGAATTATTATCATCACGTAGCTTCCAAAAGTTACCTTTCAACAGATCTTCCCATTCACTTTCCCGCGATTTTGAGCGCAACAAACTTCCCATCACTCTTATTGCCAGTGGAACGCCCTTACATTTTGCTGCAATTTTTTGGCCAATAGACTCCAAATTTTGGGTCATTATTTTATCATCGTCAAATGCCAACCTTTTCAACAGAGTCCAAGACTGGTCATTGTTCAATCCTTCCAAATGATATGGCGTTTTTATACCCATTCTATTGACTACCGCTTGATCACGTGTAGTCAACAAAATCTTACTACCCTTAACACCACACATCAAAATCTTCTTCAACTCTTCCCACTCTCTGGGAAAATCATCCCAAATATCATCTAAAACTAGCAAAAAATTTTGGCCATCTAAATGTGATTTAAGCTTATTTTGAAGCAATTCTAGTCCTTGATTATCTTTTTGTTCTTTTTTAAGTAATGATTCTAGCATCAGCTTAACAAGCACTTTTACATCAGAGCCTTGAGAAACACACACCCACATTCGCTTGTGGAAAGAACGCTCCACGTCAGCACCGTTGTACACCAACTGGGCAAGAGCAGTTTTACCCAAACCCCCAATGCCGACAATAGCAACCAAAGAAACATTTTGATGGCTATTATCATCATTCAACAACAAATCAATTATGTCCTTCTTGTTTACCTCCCTACCAACCATATCCTCTTGGAGCACAAAAGAACTAGTTTCCCTCCAGTTCCTCTTTTCATGCTTCGTTTCAACAACTCTTCGATCTAAATTCAGCTCCGACATTCCTTTATTAACAGCATTAAATTGCTCTTTAATGCTTCTAATCTTGGGAGCAATTTTGGAGCGAAAAGCGATTGGATTGGAGGATGAGAAGAAGTCACGTACCTTTCCTTTTGCATCCCTCTTGCGCAGCAAATGTTGAGTGTGGATCTCATCGAGCAAGTCATCTGCATCGTAAAGCACTTGCTTGAGGTCCCTGATCCAGAGCTGGACGAGTTGTTCATTCTGCTGCTTCTGGTCAGCATCGGCAAGCGCAGCTTTGATGCGTTCAACAGTTTTCTTGAGCCATTCAGTGTCCCTTTTGACCCCATAAATGGAAGCAATCTCTCTGAAGGCTGCAGAAGCCAACGTGTTGATGAGACTTGTGGCCACTCCATATGGTACTTGTTCCGCCATCCTTCCTCCGATACACAAATCAAAGGGAGACTCTCTCTGGTGTTCGATGATTAGAAACAAGTTGAGGAGAAAGTGCAGGAGAAGAGAAGACTTAAAAGCACTCAATTAAGTCTACCATATGATATTTAACTTATTGACAGGGAAATGACCATGGCAAATTGTTTTGGTGTCCCCACTGCACTGATTCATTGTCTCCCACTAAGGAAGAGGAAGTTTCCTGGAAATTGCCTATACGCGTAGCATCCATCAACTTTAAAAAAGTTTCGCGGAAACTTTCCAATAATTTCTCCCCTGTGGTGGCCCACGCGGTAAGGTTCAGAGAAACCAACGTCGTCTTGCTCTGTGAGAGAGAGGGTGAGGTGTGAATCACAGAGATGGATCTAAGCATAGAGAAAGTCCATGGTATTTATGCTATCCAGTTTTTATTGAGATTTTATTAATAATTACATTTTTGGCTTATTCATGATTTTCTCTTTTATTCTGTTGGCTGTGGTTAACAAGGAAGATTTGATCAGATTGAACTTTGAAGTCTTTAACACGTCGTTCAATCAAAAAGAACTTTCTTAATCTAATGATAAAATCAACTTTAAAAAGTTTCGTGGAAACCTTGCAACAATTTCTCCCTTGTGGCGGACCATGCAGTAAGGTTCAGAGAAACCAACACGGTGTTGCTGAGAGAGAGATGTGTATCACAGAGATGGGGCTAAACATAGAGAAAGTCCATGGTGTTTGTGCTATCCAGTTTTTATTGAGATTTTTTTTTTGGACAATTACATTTCCGTTTTCGGAGTTTATAGTGATGATTCTCAGCCCACCTTTTGTCAATTGTACGCCTAGAAATCATATCTTGTTCCTTCTCTAGTTTCATCATCAAGAGTATCCATGTGCGCTCACAGGGCCAATATCTCCATTTTTTGACCGCTCAGAAGCCTCTTGTGTCGCTTATTTATCAGCATCTACAAGCAAAGCCCAAGGGAGTTTGGGTCTAGTAAAAAGCTAATTTCTCAATAGTAAATCAAAATTCATATTCTTATCAATGGAATTGGGCAAAACGGAATAAGCTAATTCTTGAATCAATATTCAAATCCTCATTAGGAGATGTGTCCATATTTAGTATTTGACAATGTCTCCGATAGCATTACCTCCAATAGGAGAATACTTATGTATTAGCCAAAAAAAAATTCAAATTCTTATTAGGAAAAATTACGACATTTAATACCACATAGTACCTCGATCAAGATTGCTTCTAATATAAAAATACATGTGTTTAAAAAAAACTAGAAGCAAAGCCAAGCTGCTTTTGTTTTCAAATCATTATTATATTATATTGTTCCTTTTATCGCATCTTTCTATTTCTTCTATCATTATTAAAACGTTACACATTTAAAATTCTTTCAGTAGCATATGTTTCCTTACTTTGTCCCCCAGTCTGACAGCTCACACGTCTTTGATTCTCTCTTTTATTCTGTTGGCTGTGAACAAGGACGATTTGATCAGATTGAACTTTAAAGTCTTTGATTCGTGGTTCAATCAAAAAGGAACTTTCTTAATCTAACGACAAAATCATATAAAAAAAAATCAAATAAATAGTTCTACCTCTATTTAATTCAATTGGCTAATTTGTCTCACTTATAAATTAATATATAATCTAATAATATATAAATATTTTTAAAGTCATATAATACATGTTATAATTAACTAATTTAAGAATTTTTTAAAATTTTTTAAATTAGTTAAATAAGTTTTATATTAACAAATAGAAATAGTATTTTGTTTTATACATGTATGGCGTGGTTCTTTTAAAAGGAGAGAAAAGGGCGTAAAACGTGTCAACGTCTGTAAATAAAGCAGTATTACTTTGTGGGGTGCGGTCCAATTTGCAAGGGCCACATCATTTCATAAATCCTTTGGAGGTTTCCCCGAAACAGAAAGAGAGGGACA